AGTTTCTCTTCCAAAAATGTAAACATGCTTTTCACACAGGGATCAATGTGTTTGGGCTGCAATACTCACTTTTCACTTGTTTCTTGATACTTTTTGTGACATCGAGCCAATGCTGAAAGCATACAAAGCAACAACAATTAAATCAACACAGCAAGGTTTAGCAAAACTAACATGAAAGCCAACAGCAACATTACTATACATGCGCCTTTATTGAACATAGAAACAAAGCACTGGTGTGGTCAACTGATACAAAGCGACCAGTTGAGTTAATTGGTTAATAAGTGCGCTGTTCTTCGAGGTTTCTTCTTAGAAGTTCAGGCTCTGCGAGGCATGAACTATGTTAGAGAGAGAGGGAGGCGTCTGTGTCCATGTCAGAGACAGAGATAGATAACAGAGGAACAGCACTCTCTCATCTCTCTCCCCCACATTCCTTATTGCAGCCCTCCCTCTCCCAGCGCTCTAAACCTGCCTCCTGTTTGCCTGCCTTTGAGTTTCCCAGTGAAGGAACAGAGTCCCCGAGAGACCGATGACTTCAAACTGTTTGTGTAAGAGGACAGCCCGACTCCCAGAGTGGACCGAGCCTTTAATCAGAATCAGAATCAGAATGGGGTTTATTGCCAGATGTTGAGGTTTACAACATTAGGAAATTGCTGCGGTGCTTCAGTGCAAACAATAAGAATTAAAGTGCTATGTAGAAAGAAAGATATGTGCATGAGATATACATGAGATATATACATGAGAATAAGAATTATGAGTGCTACGTAGAAAGATATATACATGAGTGCAGGTGGTGATCAGTGCCAAACATGAAGTGTTTGGCCCTGAAAGTGAAAGTCTGTGTCTCAACCTTTCCTGGGAGAGCAGTAATGTGGGATATGTGGCTAAAACACGACTGTCAGAGACACTTGGTATCATATCAAATAAAAGCATGACACAGAATTATACGGCAGCGACATACAGATAAAGAATAGATATTTAAATTTTTGATATTTACTATAATACAGTCATAAATTAAAATGAACTCCTTACCCAACAAATACAATAAGATGTATATTTCTCCATAACATAAGTGCTAAAAGTTAGAGAAGCAAACAAACAGTGTGTAAACATTTACTTTTTATGCATCAATCCAATATCTGTAATGGGGGGAAAAAAATGTTAACTTTAAGTATTAACAGGAAGTCTGCAGATTTAGTCAGGCATTAAAAAAATTTATTAATAAACAAAAAACAACCAGTACAGAGTCACAAGACACCCTCCATGCTTACTGGAACTTGTGCCGAGTCCATGAAGCGTATTCCAAAGTAGTCTTTCTCAACAATGTCCAGATGGTACATGATCTGTTCAAACAGCTCCTCGCCTTTGGCTTTTTTCTGTAGAGGCAAACACACGAAAGAGAAGACTTCAGTGCTCTTGTTTCAGCACATTAATCAAAGTTAGGGTTGCCTCGGCCTCCAAGAAGTTTATAAATGATAAAACTGATTATTTGATCAGTCTTTGCAATGCCTGCAGTTCTGGAAATTTTTTTTATGGGAAATAATATAATTCCCTGGAATACATTCTGACTCGTGTGGAAGAGATTAGAGAAAATGTTAAGCTGTCAGAAGCTGAATAGGTGTTGCCCTCTCTGACGAGGCCGTACCAGTCACTGCCTGCGTTCACGTTGGGACTGGGAAATCTCTCAAATATACACCGCTCTCCTCTCAGTCTCACATTTCCATGAGGAGCAGTCACATCTCATGACAGAAGCTTTGTGTGCATCCGAGATCAATCTGCAGCTCCACAGTTCTCATCGTCCTCTAGTGTTCAGGAGTTTAGAATCAGCCTATAAAATCGGTACCAATCGGTCACCACTGCCTGATCGAGCTGGCAGCGTCTGTTCGTCCATAATAAGAAAGTAGGAATTTTTTGATCAAACAGGTGCAGTTTCAGCTGTTTACCAGGTTTCACCACCCCCGGTTACTGGAGTACAAGCCTTTTTAGTTAAAACCTTCCCTGGATGCCACAGTACTTTTCCATGTGCCAGGTAACATTGTTTCTAACATACTAGGCCTAGAGTTTCCAATTTATCTCATTTCATGCAACCAAACCAGTTACATGACATTCTTTCCGAGGCTATAACGGCACAACTATGTGCAAAATGTTATTTCCAGAAATGGGTTAAATGTTTAAGAACTAAGTAAAAAGCTTAAGCAGGATTGCCTTGATCTCTCTCTCACTCACACACACACGCACACACACACACACACACCCCCCCAAGAGAGCTCCTGGGCAGCACAGGGGGGCTGGCCCCATGCTAGCTGGCATAGCTGACGACGCATACCGCACCCCTACAGTACCCTGGGAGAGGGAGCACAAAGGACTCATTGTGTGTGTGTGTGTGTGTGTGTGTGTGTGTGTGTGTGTGTGTGTGTGTGTGTGTCATTGTTAGAGTCTTTGCAGTCTTTCTGCCTCCCTGTGAGCACACAGTTCTCCCTCTGAGACGCTCAGATTGTTTAATGACAACAAAAGTCTTTAACCGATATCAACTACTGCAGTACGAGTCCAACCAAGCAGCCGGGGGAGCGATGTGTCCATAAAAAGGAAACAATATCTAAGATGAGTAGAAGGGTTACGGGGTTATTTTAGAAAGAAAAACACGATTCGAGCGTTTGCATGCATGTAAATTTAGTCTACTCTTAAATACTCCATTCAAAAAGCATCCATGGGTTTGACCTTTTCTCTGGTGCTACACACAAAAGAAGGTCAGTGGAGGTGATAGGGTGGGGTAACTGGTGGCAGTGGTGTAAACAAAACAGAAGGGAATAAACGTCCAATAGGGAAGGATCCTTTGGCCTGGGGTGGTCTTACATATAAGAACCAGAGATGGTAAACCTGTGAGGTGTGGATCCTATTCAGGGTGTATTTCCAGCCACTCGGACGTCTCACAAGAATAAAGGAAACCAGGAAGCATTGAGAAGGGACACACAGCATTTCCTAAGTTACTGTGTGTCTAAGCTGACACCTGGTGCCAGATGTTTATACCACTGGTTCCCAGTTGGTGTGTTAAAACACACTATAGTGATCTGAGGTTGTTTTTTGTTTTTTTACTGTGAGTCGAAGGGCACCTCTGTCCACTGAGCCAATCCACACTGCTCAGGTGGTAGAAATGTTAGTCTGCTCTAGCTTAAGTCTGACTTGGGATGCGAATATGTCACCAAGCAAACTAGACCGACACTGAAACACCACCCTGAGAGAGATGTAGAGAACTTCAAAGGAGGACTGGGTCTGAACCTAAAGCCACGTTAAGGTGATGCATGGAGGGCATACGCTAGCAGAGAGGAGAAGAAGGGACTAATATGAATACAGGCTTAGCTTTATTTTTGGTTTCCCTTTGTTACACCTTAAGCTCAAAATGTTTTTAAAAAAAAATCACTGTTTTAAACAATGCAAATGAATGTGTGCAGCACAGACACTTGACAGCAGGAGCACAGAGAGCCTCTTACAAACAGCTGTGAGTGAAATACAGAGCAGATTAAAATTAGAGATGCAAAGAAGGGATTTTTTGCTAGTTTTCTAATATAAACGTTCATTTACAAGCATCGTAAAAATCATACGATTATGAGTGATGAAGCCGTTTACAATCCAGCCCGCCCTTTGTCCAAAGGTCTTCTGTCATTATTATCCTCAGCTGTGAAGTAGGGCTGCTCAATTATAGCAAAATTGGTCAACTTTAGACTCTACCATAGAGCCTTCACTGTGAGAAGTCTGCAAAGGCAGACCGGGACGAAGAGAGGGCCAGGAGGCAGCGGAGCTGCTGCTTCGATGGCCGGCACAGTATAAATGCAGAGAGCAACAACAGCTAACCAACACTCCTGTCACACAAACCTGAAAGCTGACCGAGTGGTTAAAAGGGCAGCTGCAGGTTCTGTTAATGAGGCCTCTGCAGCAGGGCGGGCAGTTCATTTTCCCCAAGAGTCCACATGACAAACTGGGACTGTTGAGTGCACGTGCATGCTTTTGTAAAATTTCAAAGGCTTTTTAAATACAAAGTGCTATTGCTGTCTTGCTTCTTGTTACTTACTTCAGCTACTTCCCTTTTAGTTCTCACTCAGTGAGAGAAATCTGGTCTGTTTTGGGCTTTAAGTGCATGAAAGTCAGGTTCAGTGCGGTCACTGAGAGTTTGTGTATCTGGGTTTGTTAGACTTCATCATTGAGAATGTGATGGTGGTAGATCCAAAGACGGCCAACACTTTCTGAGCACGTGGGCTTATGAGTGTAAAGTTCTCCTCTTTGAGAGTAAAAACTCCAAAGTGAAAAACTGTCTGTGATTCAGCCACTTCTGAAGTTAACCATTAAAGTTACAACACCAACAACATGGTTAATTTTTAGCGCTTACACAACACCTCCTGGTGCTAAATTCCCAATTTCAGATCTCGATTCATTTCAGAACTTAAGTTTTACTGAACCATAAAACTCCAGAAACGAATCTTGAACTGTGTAACATGTGTATTATTAACAGTGTCTGAAACGCAGACATCTGGAGGCTGAAAGCTGAAGCGTTTGCTCCTAAACCTCGCTCTGCTTCACTCTGTGCGCTCACACTGTTGGTATGAAATATAATGAAAGTCCAGCTCCCTGTGCTGCTGGCAGCGTAGGAGAAACGGTTCAAACAGCATAGAACAACAAAGGAAAACAACAGCCTCTCCAAACCATCAAGGCTTCCCAAAGCGACAGGAAACAAGTTTTCTTTAAGTTCTTTTAACTAAACATTGTGCCAACACTTCCCAGAAGGGCTCTGCTGCAAGGCGGGAAAATTCTCTTTCATCTTGAACCCATCAAATTAAAACTGATAAACTCTGCATTAACACACACACACACACACACACACACACACACACACACACA